CTAGTGTGCCGTGACATAGTGTAAGGTGTGCCGTGGGAAAATTATATATAGTCAGTATAGGCACAGAGTTAAATTTTTTTAACATTTTCTAATGGTGGTGTGCCTCGTGATTTTTTTCATGAAAAAAGTGTGCCTTTGCACAAAAAAGGTTGAAAAACACTGTTCTAAACAGTAGTGTTTTTCTGGTTAGCAATATTTTGGTTATTGTTACTGGGAAGTACATACTAAAATTAATATTTGTATAGGTAGTCCTTGACTTATGACCACAATTGGGACCGGAATTTCCATTCTAAGACATTGCAATCATAAGGCAAGTCAGATACAATTTTACAACAATTTTTACAGTGGTTGTTGGCCAAATCGCCATGATCACTGATCAAATCATGCTGTTATTGAGTAAATCCAGCTTTCCCAGTGGACATTGTGGGAATCAGCTAAAAAGTTTGCAGATTGCAATCAGCAGGATACTGCAACGGATTGTAAAGGCAGTTGCCAAGTGCCCAAACTGTGATTACATAACCATGGATCATAAATGTGAGCACAGGTCAAATCACTTTTTCTGTTGTAACTTTAAGCCATTGTTAAATGGTAAAATATGTCAAGGACTACCTGTATAATTAGAACGCAAGAAATCTATTTATATTCTTAGTAGGATGAAAGATAGGTTGTCTGTCTGCTGGATAAAGTACCTAGTGAGTTTAGCTATTAAACTAGGGCAACGTTTGACTTTAAAAGCTGTAACCTTAAAACATATTACCCTGAGAATAAGTGCCAATACTGTTTGTTGTAATACTGGAAATTAGCTAAACAAGGTATGCTTTTTTTCCAGCTATCTGATAAGATTAGAAATGCTATACATAAGAGATTCTAAAGATTGCAAGTATATCATCCTATGTATTGAATATTCTGCTTTTTGCTTGCTTAATTACAAGCATCTACTGAAGCACATGTAGTACATTTTGAAGAACACTACGAATATAACACTTTTAACAAATGCCCACTGCTATTATGCTATGGTGATTCAGGTTCCATTTCATTTTTTGTGACTGAGGTTATTCCCACTCATTCACAACTGTAGAATTAGTCACCTGAGCTTATCTAAATTTACAATTTTAATGTGAAAATGGCACATACCATGATCAAACCATCTAAGTTGCATATCCAATGAACTTATTATTCTGTCCAAAGAACTAGATGTTGATGCACATATGGTTTTGTATAAAGTGCAAAGAAGTTTCTATGTATGTTTTTTATTGCTTAAGTTGAAATTATTGGATTTGTAAACTTTAATATTTCATTTCATTAATGTACCTGGATGTATATGGTGATATAAAAAGTAACCCTTAAGTACAAATGAATTTTGCATTTCCTTTTAATATTTAATTTCAAATGGTCAAGGTTTTTTTCTAGTTAATAAATATGTTATAGTTATTCTTTCTAAACTTTTAAAACCTTATTCATACATGGAATTTCAGGATTAAAAAGATAATATATTACTGAATTACCAATACGTTAAGATCACTTTAATATTACTTTAATTAAGGTTTTGCACGGAATTTATCAGAAGGTAACAATGCAAACTATACAGAATACGTTGCCACCAGATGGTATCGTTCTCCTGAACTCTTGCTAGGGTAAGTAAACTTAGAATTTATAAATAATGTGATATATTATATTACACACACACACACACACACACACACACACATATATACATACACACACACACATACACATACATACATACACACATACATACACACACACATGTTTGTGTCATTATGTTATATATATATAAATAGATAAATATATAAAATACACATTTACACTCTTCAGTATTGGTCTATTTAATAAGCCCAGTTCATTATTACGTTAGTTGTCCTTGTCAATTGCCTAGTTTGATAGCAAGAGCTGAATTGAGGATTTGTTTTCTTTTGAAGTATAGTATTTAAAGATCATATTGCTAATATATATTTTCAAATAGAGCAAAGACGGCTTGTGGAAATTGAAAGTATGATTCAATATCTCTTATTAACAATGATTCCTTTAGGTAGTCCATGATTTAGTAGGACAGATACATATTAAAACCTTTCTTTAAATTACAAGTTGTGTGTAATGATCTGAAATGTTGTCTTCACAGTAACTAGGGATGTTTATGACCCAAACTATAAACTAAAGCTAATCAGGAATAATTATTCAATAATTTAATTCTGTTATATTAGTAGACCAGGACACTTCGTATCGTTTCTATATTTTTTCATATTTGCTAAATGTGAGCTTGTGACTATTGCAACTATAATCAAGAGCAAGCTACTAAAAGGAATTTTGTGTTTTATGTCTGAAGATCTTTGATACTGATTCTATTTTTTAAAAACCAATGCAGGGTAAAATACTTAAATATGTTATAGAAATATGAGATCAAGGAGCAATAGCACAATATCCTTTTTTTTCCCCAGGGCCCCTTATGGCAAGTCTGTAGATATGTGGTCAGTAGGCTGTATTCTGGGGGAACTTAGTGATGGGCAGCCATTGTTTCCTGGTGAAAGTGAAATTGATCAACTTTTTACAATTCAGAAGGTATTAGGACCACTTCCTGCAGAACAAATGAAGCTTTTCTACAGCAATTCCCGTTTCCATGGCCTACGGGTAATGTTTAGCTTAAATATACCATGCATGTTTTCTATTAGTGAATTTGCATGAAGTCTTTCTACCAAAATTCTCCCAATACTATTCTTTATTTTATTTATTTATCAAATGTAGACACCTGCCCATCTCACTATGTAAATGACTGGGAAGTTTACAAATTAAAAAAATCATAAAATCATAAAATATAAAAAAGTTGTACAATTGTTTTATAAAGCCTGGTTTGTACTTACCTGTATCACCACTGAAATATATTTAAGGGTTTGTAATAAATATTCTAGCCTATTAAAAAATAAAAACAATAAAAACTTTAAAACAAATCATAAATAGAGTTAAAATGGAATTAGAACTGAATGACAAATAGAGAGACAAAACAAAGATAAAAGATAAGATAAAAAGTAGAGGAAGTGCTTTTACACAATTAATGTGTACTATCATTTCTCTGGGTATGGCAAAGAATATATTTATGACACATGTTAATAGTAGTGTTATGATTGGAAATGTCTCTATTTATACAAGATTTTTGAAAAATTCAGATAGGAGCATTTCAAAATTCATGTTTGGAGAAATTTTGCACCTTAAAATTCATTAATTAATAGACTGAACATTCATTAGACTAAATAACTGGATAAATATTGCTTGTATTCAATACCGGTAGTCCTCAACTTACAACCATTCACTCAATAACCTTTCAAATTTACTAATTCAGCTCCAGTGCCACAACCACCCTTGAGGAATGCTGCCTGAAGCCTCAAACCATGACAGCCATCACAGCACAAAGCCCCATGCCCTACTTATATTCCACAGGCCTTGCCTTGCCCAACTCATCCTCGTCAACTTCTTGCCATTGGTGATAAGGCAAGCCCAACTTGGCCATACCCTAAAGCTGTTCACTCTACTCTCCAAATTGCACTCTGTGTCCTCCAAATAGCACATTTGTTGTGAGCCTGGGAAAGGTAGCCTCACAGGGTCAGCAGCAGCCTTGTGAAGGGTCAGAGAGATCATGTGGCAAAGGTCAGATGGGCCTTGGAGTACAAGGTGGCAAGTGCAACTTGGAATGCTTCCTGGGACATTGTGGCTTTATGCTGAGCTGTTGGAGCTTCCTGGGCATGATGACTTTGCAGCACACTATTGGGCTCCGCAGCTCTGGGGCTACTTTCCACATTGCGGATTTCTTGGTGTGCTGCAGTTCTGGGGCTGCAAATGAACTGAGATGAAGGGAGATATGCAGGTGCGGGGCTTGGAAGCAGTTCCTTACCTTATTAAGGCTCAGGACTGGTGTGTGTGTATGTTCCAAACCTAGTCAAATTTGCTTATCAATGGCAAGGGGAAGTCCTGGAAGTTCAGTCATTAAATGAGTGATACAGTCATGTGATTTATGCTTTACAATCACATCACTTAGACAGAAATTCAAGTTCCAGGTTTAAAATTAAGGACTACTTGTATCTCCTTACCAATAAAGCTGCTGTTAGCTTTTTAAGAAACATAGGGAGTCTAATCCTACATCATCAATAGCACAGTTGGTCTATTGGTCTGACAAGGAAATTATCTTTGAGCTATTATTTAATTTACCTTTAATATTTTTGCTTTTCCTGTTTTGTTAGGATATAATGCTAACAAAATTTTAATGTTTGATAAATGCCAGTTCTCTATTTGAGTTATATGTAATCTGTATTACAGTTTCCTGCAGTCAACCATCCGCAATCATTGGAAAGGAGATACTTGGGAATTTTAAGTGGTTTTTTACTTGACCTTATGAAGGTAGGAATAATGATTGTTTACATCTACAGAATAGATAGATAGAGGGAGAGAGAGGGCTGTAATTTAACTATATATATATATATGTTAATAGTCCTGTATAATCTTATAATTTGAAAATATAATTACTTCATACGTTTGAGATGGTATGGGGAAGGCACAGAGATAGGATTTTTTTATTTTCCCCTCATTTCACCTGAAATCAACACAGCTGCATGTTTTTAACAAGGTCTATTTTCAGATTTTGTATAGAATTTGTTTCCTTAATAGCATTAAATAAATTTAATATATTGTTAATGATGTAATAAATCTGAAAAATCTGATAAAGCAAGATCTTATAAGATTTTCTTACAACCATATACCAAAAGAAACTTGCTGTGCAATTTTTATGTATTATGTAAATCTGCATATAAATGTAGTATACCTTATACTATAGAAGATTACCGTGGGATGTTTTTTTTATTTTTAAGAATAGATTTTAGAGTCAACATTTTTATTTAAGAGTGGGAATGATAAATAATTTTCAGTTGCATATATTTTTAAAATTATGCTGTAACTAGCAACAACCACATCTATTACTATGTTATGTTTCTTAATTCTTAATATTTGACTTAAAGAACTTGCTGAAACTGGATCCAGCTGACCGATACTTAACAGAACAGTGTCTGAACCATCCATCATTTCAAACTCAGAGGATGTTAGATCGTTCACCTTCACGGTCAACTAAAAGAAAGCCTTACCATGGAGATAGCAACACTTTAACTAGCAGGTAAATAACTGGAAATAATAATGTCAGCATTCTAATTATTTCAGATATAACTTGCTAAAATTAAATAATACAATTAGGCCACTATCAAACATAGCACTTTTTTGGTGTCTTCCATTCAATAAAAACAGTAGAACAACCTAGATTTGGTTTGCGCTCTGGATGATAAGATTCTCTCTTGATACTTCAGAGTATCAGATTCACTTCTACACTCAGAGATGGCCCTGAAGCCCATATATTTTCTGGACCAAGTACTTGGTGAAATCTATTGCTCATCGATACGACAACTTAGTTAAAGAATTCTGCCTTAGTAGTGGTGTGACATAAGTGTGTCAACTCCTTGAATTTTGGGAGATCCAAAATATAGCCAATTTAGAACAGTTGCCATAGTTTAGTCATCTGGGCTATTGGATAATACCCTAAATACTGTGAAGAAATATGATCACATGATCTTTATTTTCTGTATCAGGGCTATAAAGGTGTTTTTAATTAATTTGATATTTTTAAAAATAAAATAAAATGCTTTTCTTGTCTGTTCATAATATAGAAATCAATCTGGCAAAGGTACCGCTGTGCAGTCTCATCACAGATCAAACAGCAAAGAATTACAGAATGTGGGACTGCAAAGAGAAGATGCCCTTTCAACAAATGAAAGCTTTTTAAATGGAAATCTCCCTGTAACCTCTCACAGTCCAATGCTGTCAAAAAAGACAAACAATATTCCTTCATCTGGAAGTAAGGATCTAGCTAATAACAACATACCACATCTTCTCAGTCCAAAAGAAGTAAAGACAAAAACTGAATTTGATTTTAATTCCGAAGCCAAAACGTCAGATGGTCCTGGTACTAAATACCTGAAGTCAAATTCCAGATCACAGCATAATCGTCATTCATTTATGGAGGGTTCACAGAACAAAACTGGCACACTACAACTGGGTGAAAGGCATAGCCGTCACAGTTATATTGATACTATTCCACAATCTTCAAAGAGCCCCTCATATCGCACCAAATCAAAAAGTCATGGAGCTCTGACTGATTCCAAATCTGTGGGTAATTTGTCTGAAGCCAGAATTCAAGTTTCAGAATCAAATAGCAGTAGGTATTTTCCATCCAGCTGTTTGGACTTAAACTCTCCTACTACACCAACACCTCCTCGTCATGCTGACAGTAGAACTTTGCTCAGTCCTTCTGGGAGAAATAACAGAAGTGATGGTACACTGGAATCACGAAGACCATCTACAAGACATTCCAAAACAATGGAGGAATTAAAATTGCCAGATCACATGGATGGAAACCAGTTACATTCTGCATCTGCTGCTCATGAGTCTTTTTCTTATGGTTTAGGCTACACGAGTCCTTTTTCTTCACAGCAGCGCCCTCATAGACATTCTATGTATGTGAGCCGGGACAGAGTGAGGACAAAGGGCTCAGAGGGTGGCTTAAGCGTAGGGCAAGGGATGGCAGCCAGAGCAAACAGCCTGCAACTGTTATCTCCACAGGTGCAGCATAAATCTCTTACAAGATCTGTTGGCTCTTCACGTGAAGATTGTACAGAAGATTCCAATAGGGTTAGTTGAATTCTTGATTGTTAGAGTTCTGGACAATTCATGGTTTTGTACTGCATGTTTGCCTGTTGTTAAAAATAACTTTTATTTTTGCCTAAGGAATTCATATCTTTTTCAGCTGATTTTTTTTCTTGTCAATTACTCCATCCCAGAGTTTATTGTATATACTATTAACCTCTACCTTATTATATAAAATACATTACGCCTATTGATATATTACTGTTGAAATTATAATCTGTAATGCTGAATATTAAGTGTCACAAAGGCTACCCAAAAACTGAATAGTAGTTTGCCTTATGGGTATTTTCTGGAGTGTTTTTATAAATACCCTTCAAATTTTATTAATTAAAATTAAGGAGACACTTGCTCTCTTTCAAGCTTAATAAAATATTTATATTTACATTGCAGACAACTTCTGACCAGAAAATATAACTACCTGATGTGTCTTGCTTGCCATTTGTTTTCTTTTCTCTTGTCTGAAGGTGAATTGGCTAAACCTGTGGCAAAGGAGTGTGTCTGTTACAGTGGTATGCAGGGGAAGAGGAAAAGGGGTCAAATGATGAAACACGTACTCTGACAGTCTGTAGAGATTCTCAGTCATCCAGGTCATGGTTGTCCCAAAGATGTTTTTTCAGGAGGCAAGTGGACTTTCTTGTATATTTTTTTAAAGATGTTTCACTTCTCATCCAAGAAGCTTCTTCAGCTCTTACAGGATAGTGGGGAATAACAGGATTTTTATTTGTTTGTTTGTTTGTTTGTTTGTTTGTTTGTTTGTTTGTTTGTTTGTTTTTATATAGTTGTCTGCACGGAATATAAATCCTTCTTTATCCCACTATCCTGCCACAGCTGAAGAAGCTTCTTAGATGAGAAGTGAAACGTCTTCAAAGAAAAAACAAGAAAGTCCCTTTGTCTCCTGAAAAAGCACCTTTGGGATATACTCTAATATCACAACATAAGCCCTGCTATGAGGAGACAAATACAGAGCAGGGCTTTCATTATAATATCACCATGCATGTTGTCATTTTCATCATATTATAGTATTTATGGATCTTTGAGTTTTAAACTAGAATAAATATACCAGAGAAGAAATATATTGGAGAAATATATGTTCTTTTTACTGGGAATTGAATGCTTTAGTAGGACTTCCTGAGTTGCCTTTATTTATTTGTTGAAAACCATTTGTTTTATGATTTTCCACCATTGAAGCTGAATATTGTAATATTTTAATAACATGATTCTCTTTTCCAAAAGTGACTATTACTTAAATGCATGGTAATACATACATTAACACCTGTAATAAACTGGGAGTGGAATATTGTTAATACCATTATAATGTGGTTAGTTGGAGACAGGAAGTATAAAAAATTAGAAAGCAGTATAAATACTGCTGGCCTTAGAAGTATAGAATAATAGATCTAAAAATTTGTACTGATCAGAATAAACTATTGCACAATATGAAGCCTAAAAATGTTTCCACATAAAATGTACTTTAAGTGCAAGTGCAAGTGCAAGTTAAGTGATAGTTGTTTGAACAACTATCACTTGAAATAATTTAGGTAAGATTTGTTAAAACCATTTATATTTTATGTGTCAAAAGACATTTTTACAGAAAAAGATCATTAGTTCCAATCAGGTACTTTTATTCTAAAATACCTTATTTTCTTAATTAGATTTCAATTTTTAAAATACATGCATATTTGTCTAATTTGCAACAATTTTATTGGAAGCTACCCAGAATCACTTATGTGAGATGTGCAGCTTATATAAATTGAATAAACTAACAAATAAGTAGTTATTAAATGAATGAGGATCACCCATCTTTGTAAATCTTTCTAGGTACCCATGGCCTCTTGAATTATGTATAATGTTTGGGATAGTATATTTTTTCAACAAAATTTAAAGGTCAATTTAAGGGTCAGTATGTTACCAAATAATAAGATTCTCCATTGGCAATCTAGTGGATTTAATATATTTAACATCCACTGTGGTAGATTACATGCCTTTGTCATTTTTTAAAAGATTTATATTGTTTCCTCACTCAAAAATCATTTATTAGAGGGATAAATGAGAGTTAGTAATTAATCCAAATATATCAGGCAAGCTACTTCTATGATGATAACATGCAGCTTTCATTTTTAATGTGGAAATTATTTTTTATTTTAACAAGCTATGATCAGATTCAATCAAGTTTCTTTCGTCTAATAAATTTATCTATTATTTTATTAAGGGTGGAACATATCGTGATCAACACCCAGATGATGGAGCCTCCACAAAAGAAAATAGACTTCTGTATAATGATTCTGTACCTCGAAGAGTTGGTAGTTTTTACAGAGGTAATTTAACTTATGCAGTTTAATTCTATTTTAAAACAGAGTTCTAATAAAAGGCTGTTAAATAAAAAACAGTTTAGCCAATGTTCAGACAGTCATATTCCTAACAAGTTGGAAGAATCTTATATTCCTAGAATACTAAGTAAAATAAAGATGATTGGCTTCTATTTAAAAAAGTTTTCCTTTACCAAAACTTATTTTGCCAACTAGTTTGGTATGAAGGAGGATTCAATTTAGGCATTCTTATAAGCAGATTTTAAATATATTATTCAGATGTTTGTAAAATTATGTTTAGAATTGCTTATGCATAAGTGTGTTTTTGACTACAGGTTTTGTTTATATCATTTATCTTTTGGGAAAATTTAGAAAAAGTATAATATTAGCAGAATGTACCACTTAATAAATTAAACAGACTTTCAAGAACAAGTCACAGCAAATGTTAGCTCCAACTTTCTAGGTAATCTAGTTTTCATCAAAAATAATTCTCAATATGCAGGCCGACAGCAATTGATAAATTTGGCTGTATACTAAAGGACAGGGGGGCAGCAAAATAACAATCTTTTTCAGCAAATAAGTTTTGGCTTTGTTAACATGTGAAAGGGCAAGACCATTAGGCTAATTGTGTCTTAATCATAATTGCTTGAAGGATTGCTTGAACTTTATAAACCTTAAAAAGTCTACTGTATTAGAAGGACTGGCCAGCCTATGACTGAGACTTAGAATAATTAAGGCTCAGTTTAATTATGTGATTTGGGTCACTATCTAAAATTTCTTAATTCCACTTACTGCATTTTTATCCTTAAGGGTATGAAATTCTGAATATAAAATTGCAATTAAAGGGGGAAAAGATATAATCTACAATAGGGGTGTCAAACTCTATTTCACTGAGGGCCCCATCAGGGTTGGGGGTCCAGGGTGGGCATGGCCAGCTTGGCATTACTTGTGGGAACCTGTGGTCGCCTGAGTGCTCTGCCAGCGAAAACGGGCTCCCAAGCTCCATTCTCCTAGGCACTGCTTGGAGAGTCCAAGCATGGGTTAACACAGTCTATCTGCCCTAGGACTGAGTATATTTTTTCTTTGACCATGCCTCCCTTTGCCTCTATTATCTCAGTTTAAAAACTCGGCCCGATTGGACGTGAACTTGGAGAACTCCTTGGTCTTAGTGCAGATAGACTCAGCTTTCCATTGTAATTGAGTTTTTAAGTGTATTTGTTTGCCATCCTACGACCACCAGGAAAGGTTTGGAACTGAGTGATCTCCTCTCAGTCACGGAGCTGTTAGATCGCCAGCTTGCTGCCTCGGCTGCAAACAAACAAGGCGCCCCGTGAGTCTTTCGTCCGGCGGAGGCCAGCGAAAGGAAGGGGAACTGGGGGGAGGTCTCTGTTACCATCTCCTCTCCCAGCTGCAAGCGCATTGAGAAGCACGGCCGAGTCTCCTCGGAGCTCCGGCGGTTGCGGCGGCTCCCTAGATTACCCGGCAGTTGCGGTGGCCATTTTGGGCTATCTTCGTGCACTTTTCACCCGGCCACAAGGGCGACGGCGGCGCGCGCAGCTGTGGCCATTTTGTGGCAGTTGGGGCCACGTGTGACAGTGAGGGAGACAGCGCCGATCTGATCAGCCAGATTGCGGAGCGCAGCGGTGATCGGTTAGGCAGCGTTAGCAAGAGCCACCAGACAGCGGTAGCCACAACGAGGCGTGAGCTTCAGCCTTACGCGCAGCAGTTTGATTCACCAGCAGCTAGCCACCAGGACATCGAGGCCTTGTCTGGGCCGCCAGCAGGCCTCGATTCCCGCAGAGAGCCACCCGACAACGACACATGGCTGGAGGAAGGGTATTGTCTCCAGGGCTTCCCTCTCTTCGTTCAGATCTGAGGACATTTGTTGCCGGCAGGCTCGTGTCCTTTCCTGGGCTATTGGTCCAGTCCCTTACTCCACAACCCCACTA